GGTAAAAATACAGCATAAAAGATTTAAAAATATGGTAGATCTATCTGTACAGGGCACTTACTATGAATGGAGTCTGCAGGACTAGAAGCCGCTCTGGGTGAGTCACTGAGTGAGTGAATGTAAAGATCCAAGACATTACCATACACTACTGTAGACTTTATCAACACTGAATACTTAGGACATACTAAGTTTATTAAAAGGATTTTTCTTCAATTATAAATTAACTTTTATCTTACTGTAACATTTTTATGTCATATACTTAAATTTTTAAGATGTTTTGACTTTTGTAATAACTTAAAACAGACACGATACACCTATACAAAAATATTTTCTTTTTTAGATCCTCATTTCATGTTTTTTTTTTTTCTATTTCTATATTTTTTTTTTACTTTTTCAACTTTTTTTTGTTAAAAACCAAGGCACACTAGCTGGGTATGGTGGCACATGCCTACTGTCCTAGCTAATCAGGAAGCTGAGGCAGGAGGATCACTTGAACACAAGAGTTCCAGGCTGCAGTGAGCTGTGATCATGCCACTACACTCCAGCCTGGATGACGGAGCCAGACCCTGTCTCTAAAATCAAAAAATCAGACAAAGACACGAAAACACAGATTAGCCTATGTCTATACAGGGTCAGGACCATCAATATCACTGTCTTCCACCTGGACATCTTGTCTTGCTGGAAGGTCTTCAGGAGCAGTAACACGCGTAGAGCTGTCAGCCCCTGTGATAACACTGCCTTCTGGAATCCTCCTGAAAGATCTACCTGAGGCTGTCCTACATTAATTTTAAAAAAACAAGCAGAGGGAGTACACTCTAAAATGACGACAGAAAGTGTAGCATAGTAAATATATAAAATAGCAACATAGCTTTTTATTATGATCAAGTCTTACATATTGTACATAATTGCATGTGCTAGACTTTTCTATGACTCGCAGTGCAGTAGGTTTGTTTACACCACAACACTGCAAACACTTGAGTAATGCACTGGGCTACTACATCACGACAGCTACAATGTCACTAGAGGATAGGAATTTTTCAGCTCCCTTATAATCATGTGGGACCACTGTCATATACGCAGCCCATTGTTGACCAAATTGTGTTTACATGGCGTATGATTGTAATGTGTGCGGTATGTAGATTTACAATGATTGGAGGAGCTGTTAAGTCTGGAAGGAGTGATATAGTCACTCCTGGAGGAAGTAGGGTATGTAGTCATCTGGGTTCCATTTGGGTGCTTGATTCTCTAATCAGCCCTGGCTGGGCTTGGGATGAGTCAGGTCTCTCATCTGCCCTTACTGACCAGCACTGGAGAGCCACTGTCTGTCTCATAGCCTATCTTTGTGCCTGACGAGCAGGGGTGCCTGGCTTTGGAAGATTACACTGAGGTAGAAGTTAAGGTGGGGTCTGAGGACAGAATGCTTTGGAGCAGAGGCAGCGAATGTAGTAGTGATGAAAGAGGTGGCTGCTTTAAAATAAGAGATTGTCCAGGAAGAAATGGCTCTGGCAGGATTAGCCCTTAGCATTTAAGCCCCACTTGCTTCTCCTGAATTGTTATATTTCAGCAGACAAGGCTCCTAGTGAGGATTGTCTGTCTGACCGTAGGAAGACAAGCCGTGACTCCATCTCAGGCAGTAGCTAACCCCAGGCACAGGATTTCTTCATCCAGCTTCTCTCCCCAGCTGCCAAATACATTTTTCTCTTGTTTTCATTAAACTTCTGGTTTATGCTCCTGTCAATATCATCATACCAACGTGCACGCACATACATGCTCATCACCAGCAGCCCCCCAGAGGTGCTCTGGGCCATCGTCTTGAATTTTAAAAACTAGTATTGTCCCCTTGATGAAGAAATACCAGGGGAGAGATGTTGTTTAGGGCACGCTTCAGGCCGAACTGTTGTTCCTAAGAAATGGAGCAACTCAGATTCCTTCCTAGGGAATGGGAGCTCTAGGATGGGAAAAATGACCCCGTGCACTGGTAGTGACCGCTCAGCCATGGAGGAAAGCCGGTCAAGTGGGCAGAGAAGATGGCTGAGGCCCAGATGTCTACAGAGCCCTTGGACATGGGATTTGGGTGGCTCCTGCCCCTGGTCTGATTCTGCCCACTTGACCCTACTGGGTAGCCATAGTGATGCTGGAGGGATACGGCTGAAGCACTTTGCCTTTGATTCTTGCTTCCCTTTTATGTGGGAGCAGCTAATAGAGTGTGAAAGTGCACTCTTTAATGTACAATCTACCCGGAAAGATCAATGGCAGCTTAACATGCATTTCTGTCTAATATTCACTTTGTCAGGTCTTTGTAATAAAAAATGCCGGTTTTAATGAAGTGCACTAAAATGAGGAGATTCATGGCCAGCCTGTATGCTTTTATCACCATTGCCTCCCCTTGAGCTGTCAGCACATGAGGCGTTCTGTGGAAGCAAGGCAGAGGGGCATCATTTTAGGAATCACACACACACACAAATTCTCCATTTTCGCAAAGATCCATGATACTGGTGGATATATTTCAATTTAATACACATTATTTCTATAATATGAGATCATCCCAGAGATGTATCTTTGGGAGGAACTTGCATTTAGGAACCAGGTAGATGGACATGATGGGGAGAAGACACCTGGTGTGGGCTAGCTTGTGTCCCACCAAATTCCTATGCTGAAGTCCTAACTCCCAGAACCTCAGAATTTGACCGTATTTACAGATAGGGTCTTTAAAGAGATGATTAAGTTAAAACGAGGCCATTAGGGTGGGCCCTAATCCAATGATTTGTGTCTTCTAAGAGGAGATCAGGGCATCCAGAGGCACCAGGGGTACATGTGCACAGTGGACCGGCCATGTGAACAGACCACAAGCCAAGCAGAGAGGCCTCAGAGAGGGCCAACCCTGCCTACACTGCTGATGTTGGACTTCCAACCTCCAGAACAGTGAGAAAAGAAGTTTCTGTTGCATAAGCCACCTAAGCTGTGGTGATTTGTTATGGCAGCCTGAGCAAACTAGCGAACGGTCTCAAGCTTGAGATTGGAGCAGTGAGCGCTGAGCTCATTCTTAAGGAGAATAAAATGATCTGAGGGCATCTGTAACCATGTATGCCCTGGAGTGAGGGCATCTGTAACCATGTATGCCCTGGAGTGAGGTCAATGGGGATGTCTGGAAACTTCTGGAAAACAGAGAGCTTTAACTGTTGCCACTGGTAAGAGGGAACATGCTATGTGAGGAGGCTGTGCTTAGAACTGTGGGTAAAATGTTTGCAATAGGTAGGAAGGTGCTCGGGTTGTGTTTGTTGAATGTTACCAAATGAACCGAAAGACAGCATAGCATGGCTGTCAGAAGTACAGACACTGGGACCCAGTCTCTACCACGCACCAGCTAGGTGACCTCCCTGACTTCATGGACTATTGTGAGGATTAAATTACTTAATTCTTTTAGTGCTTAGAACAATGCTAGGCACACAGATAATTTTCTCTAAATGTTTGTTAAGGGCAGAAGTGGCTTGGACTCAAGAGGAGGAAGTCTGCGGCACCAGCTGCTCATATAATCCCAGAGGCCCCCGGATGCCCAGCAAGCTCTTTATCACCCAGGTCACCAAGCCCTTCCCACCACCACTGTGTCCCCTGACTCATCCCTTCCCTCTGTTCCCTGGCACTGCTTCCCTATGGGTTCCAATCGACTCATCTAGACTCTTCTCCATATCTTTCTTCCGGTCTCCTTGCCCCTAACATCATCTTCCCATTCTCTTACACCCTTCTGCCAAAGTAAATTTAAGGATCATGGTCCCTTTCTGCTTATGATCTCCATCATCTAAGGGCTTGGGGAGGAAGCATGGCAGTGTTGGGTTGGTTATGCCATTTCATGAGATGATGTGTAAGTGTTGTAGACATGCCGGCTTTTCAGGGGTGGCAGAAATACAATCAAGCTCTTTGGCACAAAATCCTGATCTTTTGTATACTCTTCTGGCTTTATTTCCTATTGTTTCCCATTACTGGAAGTTTCTGCCACACAAATGCAAAATTTTTACAGTCCTAGGAACATGCAGTTCTGGGAGGGCGCCACTGTGCCTTTGCACCTGCTGGACCCTGTATCCTGAAATACTCTTTTCCTTCTTTTATTAAACTGGTAAGTTTATGTTCATCTTTCAAAATCCAGATTTCTCCCTTTAAGAAAGCAATTACTCTTTGTTGAAATAGAATTGAGAGCTCCTATGTATTCCTTTTCCTATCCTGGATGAGAAAAAGAAAACAAACCTTGTTCTTATCGAACTTACTTATTGTCAATACCTAAATATGAAAAGGAGAATCCAAGAAATAATGAGCAATTTGAGCAATCTAAGGACTAAAACTGGCATTTTTTACAGAGTATCTAACTTCCCCTCAAACCTCCTAGTCCTGTAATAAAATGATATTTAAAGGTGCAGTGCAAGTTACCTCTGCAGGATAAGGGGAACATTAAAGCCAATGGTATGGACAAAAAAGAGAGCTGAACAGGAACACCAAATGCAGCCCAAGTAGGAGAATCAAGGGAATGTCATTTTGCCCAGTGGCCACAAATTTATCAACACACCTATGTCTGGTAACCTTCTATCCTGTTCTTGCTCCATTCCATCCTTGGGAATTGAGGACAAGTGGTGAGAGTCCTCACTGACCACCCAACTGTCTCCCAGAGCCTAGAAGCAGCTTAGTGCATGCCATGATCACAGGACAGGGTGGTCTCAGGAAAACCACAGTCTCTCTGGGCATAGGTTTACACATCTATAAAATGGGCTTGCTAGAGTCTAATTGACAAGATTTCCCAGAGCACAAGTAGATGATGCATGGCAAAACTACTTTCCTAACTCAAAACGCTGTCCAGGTTTCTATGTTGCTTTTGGGGGGAACTGCCATGTAGGTAACTTTGGTGCTCCCCACTCCACTTTCCCATCTTGATATCTCATTGAGATACTACTTTGAGCACCTGATCAAGAGTCCCCAGTGTCCTTTTGCTGCTTAGAGATCTCCGAAGGCTGGCCCAAGGTTGGTGCTTTTTGGGCCTCCCATCTTTGGACCTGTCTGAAATAATCCACATTCCACACTTTTTCCCCATCCTCCCAAAGCTATACCTCACAATCAAAAACCTAACAGTCTCTTCGGGGGTGCTGGGAAGTGGAGGAATTTATCTGTTAACTGATTTTGCAAAAGCATTATCAGGTAATAGCATTGTGTGCAACCTGTCTTCTGTGAGCAATAGAGATATATTACCTGACATATTACCAGAGCCCTAAATGGTGACCCTTTGGGAATTTGAACTCTGGAAGCTCAGAATGTGGGTGAGGGCAACAAACTAATAACTATTGGTCTCTAGAGACCCGTAACAGCACCAGGGAGCGACTATTATCTAGCCCTATGAATAAATTGTAGGATTGTATAACAGAATTACTAGTTCCTTCCTCTAACTACGTTTTAAGGAGAGTATAATGAAGAGGTAGGACTTCCTGGGAAAGAAGAGCCAAAAGAATGGCTCTTAAATGTTTCTGTATTTTGATGATATGCTAGCAAAATATAAGGGAAAATAGCTGCAAGGATAAATGAGATAATAACAACCATGGATCATTTTTAGTTCCTGGGAAGAAAAGCACCATATAGATTTGAGGTGTTATTATTATGCATACAATATATATATAGACATTGTATATTTATTCAGAGTGAAGCTCACATATGTCATTCCCACTAATAACATTTCTTTTCTAGCTCCCGCGTAAGAGGAGATATGCCATTTTCATATGTTCCACACATACTCAGAGGAACCTGCTTAGAATATTTTTGCTGATGAAATTTTCCAGGTTGTAACATTTATCTTTTTGAAGAGCTTGCTTCCTGCAACCTCACGTGGAGATCTGTGCTTTTACCTCTCATTGTGATGCTATCTACATGTGGATTTTTGTGTCAACTGCTTATCTTAGCCATTAACCAAATTTTTTGTCTGTTTGTATTGTTTATAAAGTGTTGGGCATACATAGTGTTTCGCCAATGCATGGAGACCTGGCTCCCTGCCCCATGGAGTGCACCATCTAATGAAAATGGACAAGCCCAGCACAATAGAAGTAACACAGATATGAGACCCAGAAAGATGCTGCTGGCTTGGGATTGAGGGTGGGCCAGCCAGGGATTAAGTGGAGGATCTGAAGAAAGACAGGAAAGCATTTGGGAGAAAATTAGATGGAGGATGTTCTAACAGAGGCACGCAGGTACCACATATACTCAGTCAGTTTTTATACAAACACGGGGCTGGAAGAAGGCGGTACAGGTTCCCTGTCCATTCTATCTCCCTGAGCAGAGTGTTTCACTCCCTTCCTCAGTCCTTCAGCCTCTGATTGATCATTCTTGGGGGTGGGGACAGGCCAGTTAAGTGTGGATCTTTGCAGAGCAAGTGCTTAATCTCCAGCTGGCTTCCTTTGCCACCCAGCATGCTTCTGAGTGGCTCACTGCCTACGCTGTCACTTGCTGGGCGCTCGAAGAATGCAAATTCACTTGGGCAAAGCATAATAGAGAAATTAAATATGCTGCAAATAGAGGGGCACATATTTTATATTTTATTCTCAACTAAAAATAAACCATTTGGGGTTACGTGTAATTGCTCTCTTGGATTTTTCACTTCATTGGCATTTCTCTTTAGAATGGATAATTAGAAACTCCAAGCTTAATTTATACATACAGTCTTACACAGTTTTCAAGTGAGAAAACTTGCATCAACTTTCAATATGTGTGCATATATCGTCCACATGGAGCAACATTAGTATGGGAGGAAGAGAAGGAGGAGGAGGAATGGGCAGGCAGGACTCGGGTGAATTTAGAAGGAAAGCTGACTGCAAAGGAGGGCAGAAATGGAGGGCAGGCCAGACACTGATTCGTGGTCTGACCTTGGACAGAATCACCTTAGCTCTCTGTGCTTCCATTTCTCTGTCTGATTATGTGCTTCGTAAACATTCAGTTACCTTGGAGGTGTGGTTGAAGAGGTAGGGCAGAGGCAACCCTGGGAATCATTTTGTTGTCTGTGAATGAATTCTATCCAGTCCAGCATCCCTTGGGAGCACCTGGTCTCCCTATATTTAAAAAAAAAAAAAATCCACTATCTGCACTTTCCTTCAGACAGACTCTAGGGTGACTGTGTGTGACAGGAGGGAGGATCCATGCCTGGCTCAGTTTCCTGCCGCTGTGGAAAGGACATCAGGGGACCTTGTTTACATAAGAAGATAATGTGGCTGCCTCCCTGTGGTAAGACCCGCTCTTGTTTTTTCTAGAAATTGTGCTTAAGCTGTCAGCATCCTCTTATTAAATTCTACTTATGATCACTGGCAATTAGGCCAGTGGGGCTCATACTATACAGATGCAGACATTAGAAGGAAATAGGACTTTAGACTATGGTTACAGGCTAGTAAATCCTGAGGCATATGGGTTACATTAGTCTGTGTACTTTTAGCATTACCTTTGCAAAGCCCTTTAAATATATTACCTCATTTCATCTTTACAATAGGTGCTTGACACTATTACCTACATTTGACAGGCAGAAAAAATTAAGGTTTAGAAGAGTTTGAAAACTTCCTCAAGATTACACACAAGGTAGTGCTGGGATTCAAACCATGGCAAATTTGTTCTCAATCTCTGGCAAGATTTCACCCCATGTTGACTCTCTGGCTTCCTAAATGGTTGCCCAATTGCCCCTCTTTGAGGTGGGAAAGGCACTCTCCACTGATGGTCTAACTCTGTTTTCTTTTTTTTTTTTTTTTTTTTTTTGAGGAATTTGGGGCAATTATTTTCCTAGCACTGGGTTAAAATACATTCAGAGGGCCCTCCCTGGGGCACCCCTGACAACTTTCCCCCCACCAGCAATGCAGTATTCCCAGGTAGAACCTGACTTGCTTCAGTCTCTTCCGTCTTAGGATGATTAGGCCGCTCATGTGGGGACTCTCCAAGTGGGCGGGGGAGACTTCATATGGCTTTCCTCCCTAGGGATTTTAATCCTGGTGACCTATCACCTCAAACTCAGCTCCCTAAATTCTCAAGTTTCCCATGAGCCCCATCAGCTCTTTCTCACATAGATCTCCTGGCTGAACGTGGCAGCTGGGGTTCTGAGGTTTACAGTCGGATCAGGCCCACATATAGTGTTGATGCCAAGCTAAAATAACAGCACTGCTTGGCTACTCACTGATTATGGACTCACAAAGGCAACTGAACCCTGAATCTGATATGTGGGTTTCTATAGATCTTATCATGTCCCTCTGATACACTTGGTGGCTGGTAGGTTGCTTTGAAAGACCTCCCAGCTGCTGTGGGTAGCTGTATTTCCCAGTTACTTCTGAGCTAATGAGCATGCTAATTTTGAAAAACGCACAACCACCCACACATCTACCTCAAATCTACAGGAATAGAATGCTGGAGAGATTCTAGATAAATACTAAGAAGTAGCTCCTGTCTTCGTGTTCCTCAGAAGGTGCAAGGTCAGGTGGTGATAGCAGCTGAGTGGAAGGAGCCGAGGCAGGAGAGGCAGGAATGGCCACAGGGCCTCGTCTGTGCACGTGCACTAAGACCTTTCTCCCAGCCTCAGAACTGACTGTGACCCGAGGACTCCTCCTACACGTCTCTGGACGGATCCTTGGCTCCATTCTCCAGCTGCACAGTCAGGAGCTTGGATGTGCCCTGAAGCCTGTACTCGCTGCAGGAGAGCTTCATAAAGTTGAGAAGGCAGCAAGTGGCCCAGAGCATGTGATGAGCAGAGGGAGGAATGAACATAGAAACAAAAAACAAACAAACAAAAAACAAAACAAAACAAAACAAAAAAGCAAGCAAGCAACCAAGCAAGAAGGAAAGAAAGAAAGAAAAAGAGGTAGGGGTGGAGTCTGCCCTGCTGTCTCCACAGCCTCCTTTACAGTGTATTCCTTCTCTCTGGTCATAATGACTTGACCCATGTTTACCGAATGCTAACATTATGCCCAGCACCGTGCTGAGTACTTTACATGACATTCATAGCCAAGTTCCCACAGGTTATATGAGGATTTTAGAGGAAGAATTAGAGAGGTTAAGAAGCTCATCTGAAATCAGATGCTAGTAAATGAGAGGCCAGATTTGAATTCAGAACATATCCTCCAAAGCCACTATTCATACTGTCATTTTTCTGACCACCCTCTTTTCTCCAAGTGCCTAATGGCTCAAATTGCCCCCTGGCCTTTTTTAGCTCTTTGAGTCTCATTGCACTACCTCACTTCTTATCCCTTTTATTAATCCAGACTTACATGGTTCTGTATTTATTCACCCAAAGGTTTCCTTTTTCTGACAGAAGAAACTAATTTCTACTAAAGTGTTAATTACTACCAAGGAGTAATCTTTAACTTTAAACTGAAAACCTTCTGCGTTGTCACAGTGGATTAGCATTCTTTAAGACGAAGGAGAGATAAATTTATAAGCTTCATGCATTATCTGGACCAGTGAGAGAGAAAATGTGGGGTTAGGGAAAGGAGAATGGGGCATTCATCCTTGCACCCTGTGAATAACATTATCTTATGAGACTTATATATAATAAATATTCAATAAATGTTTGCTGAAAAATTACTGATTCAGTGAATGAGTGAACAAATGAATGAATGAATATGAAATTACCTAGATGAGATTTAAGTATGTGGTAATACTATGTCTGGTCGGTAGAGGCCACCGTTAACACTTTCCAACATCTGTGCCAGAAAGGAGAGCCTGGGGTATAGAAAATTCTGTCATCCTAAAGGTTGATTCTGAGCATAAGATTCTGAGATGAGTTCCAGTGTGCTCCCTTCCCTCACTAAGACCCTCATCAGAGGAGTTTTCAGGTACAGACAGGGGATTATCCCCTCTGCTGCTTGGAGAGGACAGACATTTTCGCAGCCCTGAGAATGGCTAATGCTACTGAGGCATCCACAACACAATTGAATGAGACACAGTCCCGGCAGAATAATCAGAGCAGAAACCTGATCAGACTACATCCTTGTGGCTGACTTGAAAAAGAGGGTGGTGAGTGGGCCTGCGGAGGGATCGCCCATTGGCTAAATATTGGGTTTTGCTTTTTTGTGTGTGTCTTTCTGATTGTAGCACTACTAGAAGACAGTATTCCAGGTCATCCTCAAGGTCCAGCCTCACTCTGGTATCCTGGATAGGAACCTGGGAGTCTGGTTTGACATAGAACTTTTCTCTAAGAACAAGCATACTCTTCTGCCCAGAAAATGCTGTCCTGGTGCCTTCTGCTGGGGGTCGGGAACAATATCTGTTCTGGTTGTCATTCCTCTGTACGAGAGCCAACTGAATTGTGTCTAGGGTTGGGTTACCTCTTCTGTGAAGCCCACCTGATACACTCAGCCTCCCCAGCTACACCCTGCCTTGCATTGTCACACTACACACCAATGGTGAGTTTATTGTCATGTTCTGGGTATGTAAGCTGTGAGTTTCTCAATGGCAGACACAGTTTTCTTTCATCTCCAGGTGCTAGCATCTGGCACGCAAGCAAGCACAGAGTCCTTGATAAATGTTTGTTGAATGAAAGAACGAGTGCATGAAGTCCACTAGGCTGCACTGGGGTGATCTGAATCAGCTTCCAAGATGACCACATCAATCAGACCTATTTAACTGTCACATTATGTATGTCACACGGAGACAGGAAAGTGAGGAAAAAATGGACACAGCTCTTCCCAGACTTTGCCTTTGTGGCCTGGCTAGGATAAAACTTTTCTTGCTGAACATCATAAACCAGAGTTAATTTTATCCATGTTTGTTTTGGGCTTTTACACACACAACAGGAGACCCTTAATGGCCATCCAAGTTGTATCTTATTAAATTTAAAAAGATAAAATGAATCGCAGGAACCATAAGCTCATATGCTACCATAGGCCAATGAGAAACATGCTGATTAAAGTTAACTCAGCAAAGAACAGTAACATCCTGTACCCCAGAAATATGAAAATAAATGTACACCAAGAAGACGCATTAAGAAGGTGAATATTTAGGCTGGCACTTTATAATTATTACTTGAGTATATTAATATGAATGAATTAACTGGCTAGAAAGAATGCAATAAATGAAGGCATTGAGACCCCTTTACTCCCTTCATGATTGATGATAGGAGCCAAACTCACTGAAATTTCTCTAAGGTCCTATAAAATGTGAGGCTTGTACTAAGAGGGCAGAAATTCAAGCCTGTCACCCTCCCTGGGTTTCGTCTGTGCAGCAGCACAATCAGGAAAGTTCCAAGACCTCACCCAATGGAAACCTCACCTGGTGGGTGCTCCTGGGGAAGTCTGCTGTTCCATTGTGCAGATCAAAAATGTGTCTTGTATCAAATGGGAAGAGGGGTTGAGCAATCTCTCCAAACTGAGTTAGGGATTGCCTGCAACTCAGCTCACTGGGGACTCTTTTCATGTCAGCTCCCTAAAGCATTTATAAAACACTTTGTGTAAGCAAGGAGCTATGCAAGGTGCCAGTGATGAACAGATGAATGTTCCAGGCTCAAGTCCGTGCCTTCAAAGGCCCTGTAGTCTATCAGGAAAGACAGACTAGTGAAGAGATGGTTAAGACATCAGGTGTGGTAACTGCTATGACAGAGGTGCAGTGAGGGCCCAGAGAAAGGGACTCCTGACCTGCCTAGGCTCAGCGAGAGAGGTTAGTGGAGGAAAGCTCTTCAGGAGCAGAAGGAGAGGATGTGGAACCTCGGCTGAATCTTAGGGTGAGTTCAAAGTGTATATCAAGGGCACTGTAAGGCCAGGGGGGGCGGGCAGGAGATTCTTACCTGTAAAATAATGGAGGCCCCTTCACAGACCTGCAAGCACTTCAGTATGGTTGGGGCATGATGGGCAGACAGGTGAGTGGGCAAGAAAATGGGCACAATAGGCTGGGTGTGGTGGCTTACGCCTGGAATCCCCTCACTTTGGGAGGCTAAGGCAGGTGGATCGCCTGAGGTCAGGAATTTGAGACCAGCCTGGCCATCATGGTGAAAACCTGTCTCTACTAAAAATGGAAAAATTAGCCAGGCATGGTGGCATGAGCCTGTAATCCCAGCTGCTTGGGAGGCTGAGGCAGGAGAATTGTTTGAACTCAGGAGGTGGAGGTTGCAGTGAGCCGAGATTGCACCACTGCACTCCAGCCTGAGTGACAGACAAGACTCTGTCTCGAAAAACAGGAAAATGAGCGCAGTGTAAATACAGGCCAGAAAGAAAAGGGCCTGGGTGTTAGGAGTTTGCAGTTGATCCTGAAGAGAAGAGAGAGACACTGAGTGATTTCATGACAGATGGGAAAGGGGGCTGCTATTGGATTTGATCCTTCATATGCAGGTTAGAGATGAGTTGTCAGGAAGTCGGGCTTTGAAGGACTCAAAACCAAACTCCAAAGGAGCCAGATGGTGGGGGCTGGGAACTACAAGTTTGAGCTGCAGTCCAGGCTCTGTGGCTGAGCATCTCTGAGGCTGGAGGGTTCTTGGAGGCTGGCCTTTGGGTTTGTGTTTCACTGTGCTGGGTACACTGTCACCTTCCCCTCTCGCTGCCTGTGCCACACACACATGACTGTCCGGGGACTCTTCTGCAGGTTTCGATGATTTCAACACTACCCTAACCCTCACCCCATGGTGCTGGCCAGTTCACGTGTCCATATGCCCCCACTGCACCGTGAGCTCCTTGTGGATAAGGACCTTGTTTGCCTTATTCAACACTGTGTCCCTGGTGTCTGGCATCGTGCAGTGCACACAGAGGGTGCACAAGAAATATTGTTCAATTGTATGAATGAAGATCAGATGGATAAAAGGTCACTTAGCCCCTCATGCCTTTATTACTTATTGGAAAAACAAAAACCTTCCTTATGCTCATTTCCATTGATGAAACTCTCCATTCCAACCATCCAGGATTCCTGAATGTGTTACTGTTTCTCTCTCCCGCCCACATATTCTTTTTGTCCTCTTCCTCCTTTTCTCCGTACACTCCCACGCTCTCTTTCCCTTTCTGTGATTCCTGCTGTGTCTCTGCTGTTCATGTGTTATGTTCCAGTTTACCTTGGCTTTCTTATTTACTACATTTTCTTCCCTTTCCTTTACACTCTTTTCTTTTGGAGTCCACCCTCCCCTGGCCTGTGTCTTGTTTCCTGGCTCTCCTGGTCTCTCTCTCTCTCTCTCTCTCTCCTTATCTCTGAGTCTTCCCTGTTTTCTTTCCATTTATTCCTCCTCCCCTTCCTCAATTGTTTTTGTTCTCATGAAATTTCTACTAACCTAATTTCCTGTTTGGCTTTTTGCTCCTGGCATTTGGTCCTAACTGACCTCCAGACTCTTTTTTTTATCCTGAACAGAACAAATTGGTGATGATAATGGTATTGATGCTATTTCAGCAAAGAATGGAATAAAGATGCAGAGATGTCTTTGAAGGGATGGGCAGGTCAGCTGTGGAAGGAAGAAGGAACACTACTTAGTTCCTCATTGAGAATAACCTGTCCTTCGGTGGAGCTGCAGAGAATTTGTGAGCATATGATGAGCATCTGGAACTGTTCCTTCCAGAAAATAATATATCAGAAGGCAGAAAAATAATTATGTTTCCCTCAATGATCCTGGCAAAGATGTTTGCTCTCCTACAGGACCTCAAGGCACTCATAAAACTAAGAAAACTGAGTTAAGTGCTTTTTATTAAACCATTAAGAGATTTTATTCAGCTAAGACAAATGTCTTCACTGAAGGATACAAAGTTTGATAGTATAGAAAATACCCAGATGAAAATGTGTCTGAATAAATTAGACTGATGCATTTGGCATTTCAGGCTCCAAGTGTCTGATTCCCTCCTTCAGACCCAGTCTGCCAGCCAACCAAAAAATCTCTAATGGTGGATTCACTGAGTCTGCAGAGAAGTAGGGAGCAGGCACGAGAGGGCTTGATGGTACTAAAAGTTTCCTCCCAACTGTATACAGTTTTGAGGCCAAAGACAGAAGTAGCAAAGAATGCATTTTCTTTCTTTGATAGCCATGGGCTCCCAGATCTCCCTGAGCTTGTCCCTTTCAGGTATCAAGTAATAGGCCAAGGAGCACACAGGACATTGCCAAGGAGAAAGGGCTCGGGGTGGGGTGGGCACTGTCAGAAGTGGGAGAACTCACATCCAATTTCAGGATCTTCAAATTTCTGGTCTGCCACTAAATACATAGAAGGTGTGGACTCAGAGAAGATAAATGTAAAGGCAGATGAATTTGAAGACACTCCCAGCGCTTCCTGCCACACATGCTGAATCCTTTATCATCCTAGAAAAGATTCCTCTGGGGCATCACAGCTCTCCCCCAACTTTTCCAAGACGGAAAAGGAACTAGCCATGGGAATCTTGTGTGCTAAGGGATTTAGTACAATGTTTATTTATACCGAATAAAATTGAGCCAGGCACTGTGAGCTTGCAACGGCTCAGACTTAATAATAGTAATAGCTAACGTTTATTGGGTATTTACCATGTGTCAGGCACCATGCCAAGCATTTTACATATAATTTTTTATTTTGTTCTCACAACAGTTCATGAGGAATGTATTGTCATCACCATCCTGCTGTTGAAGAATCCAGGTCTAGCAAAGTGATTTAACCT